CCCCCTCCCCTTCTGTTCCGCCTGGGGCTGTAACAGTCCCACCGGAGCTGGCTAGGAGAGCTCAGCCTTGCTGTAGGAACCCCTGCAGCCAGAAAGTACTCCTTTCCTTCCCAGCTCTTCTCCCGGATCCCTCATTTTTAGATCCAGTTTTCAATATAGAAGAATTATCTTCCATCTTCTAAGCCATCAACTGGTGGGCACACAGCAGTCCTTTAGTGTGGGATCCCTAGTGCCTAGGAAAAAACTCTGTATATATTAAGGAAGTTAATTTTTTTGTCCATTATCATAGTACCAAATGTTGGCCAGTTTGTCATTTTTTAAACTTTGGTTTAGTGGTTTTTGCCATGAACAAATTTGGGGTTTTTTTGTAATCAAATTTATCAATCTTTTCTTTTATGCTCTGGATTTGGTATTATATACATAATGGCTTTCCCACTCTTAGAATATACTTTTTAAACCTCCCCAGGTTTGTTCTAATACATTTCGGTTTGGCTTTTTAACATTTAAATATTGCTCATTCTGTAACATCCTGGTGTAAGGCATTGGTGGTGGTGGAAGTAAGGCCCCCTTCCCCACTGAGGGCTTGGGGTGGGCTCCTTACCATACCTGAGGAAAAAGAGTTTTCTGAGACTCACACAGGAGGACAAGTGATTTTTATTTGCATGAAATGACATCCTTGGGTTTCCAAAGCCCCATTTCCCTTAACCCAGTCCTGGGAGATGCGCAGCTGGGGATTCAGTGGAGCCGGCGTCCGAAGTTTCCTTCCCGGGTGCAGCTGGGTCCGGCACAGCACCGGGCTAGCTGCAGGCGTTAGTCCGTCGGGTGGGGTCCCCATGGCTGTGGGCCACGTGGGCGAATGCAGGGGAGCCGAGAGAGCGTGCCCCCTGCCACAAGAATCCCAGGAGTCCCGAAAACGCGAGGGGGCGAACTCCTTTGTTAAGGAGATTAAATATCTCAGTTCTTCCCCTCTTGCAGTAGCCACGCCTGCTCTAGCCAGTGACCTGTTCCCAGGTGTGGCCGACAGACAAGCACCTTCCCTGTCCACCCAGACTTTACTGAGCTTGTGTCTGTTTGCCCCCTACAGTCCCTTCCCCCAGGGATGTGTAGGGAACAGACTACCTGGGGAGTGTCAAGTTGCACAAAAGGCATGCCTTCTATTATTTGGCCTTCCCTTTGCTTCTTGCCTGTTCATTAATAACTACATTAATTACAACGATATCTGTATGAGGTAGCAATCTAAATGATTTTTTTTTCTATTTTCTAGGTAATTTTATCTATTTTACCACAAATTTGAAATGTCTTTATACTAAATTCCTGCAATTTTTAGTCTCTTGCTGGGCTTTCTAATCCGTTCTGTTGAGCTATCTTATCTAATCATGCTCCAGCGCCACACAGCTTTCATTCTGTGGTTTATAATGTTTCATCTGGTAGGGTTCATTTCCACGTGTTGCTCTTCTTTCATAGAATTATGCTGATTTTTCTTGCATGTTTGTATTTCCGTTTGAACTTGAGAATTGCTGAGTCTCATCATTTTAAAAACATCCATGATGTAGTTTAACTGGAATCCTGGCAACTATACAAATTAACTTGGGTAGAATTGACACCTTTTTGAGACTGTCTTCCTAGCCAAGGTCATATTAAGGCTTTTTATTCATTCAGGACTTCCTTTCTGTCCCTGTAAGACAATTTTTAAGTTCTCTTCACTAGTTTATTTATGCTTTCCTAACCAATCTAGCATTTAGTAGAACCTTTTACCGACTGGCTTTTCTGTTTTGAGGTTTCTGGTATTAAAAAAAAGTCATTAACTTTTGTTACCCTTTTCAGTGAATTCCTTACTCTAATTACCTAACTTAAGGCTTTATAATATTTACCCCCTCGACAGTGTCAGGAAATTTCCAGTGCCTCCCTGGCATTCAAAACAAAACTTTCTTTCTTATTGATGGGGGAGGGAAGACACATCAATTTGCTGTTCACTTGTTGATCTTATCGATGCATTCATTGGTTGCTTCTTGTATATACCCTGACAAGGGATTGAACCTGCAACCTCGGCATATTGCGATGATGCTCTAACCAACTGAGCTACTTGGCTGCTTTTAGACTTGACCAAAATGTTTTCTCTTGGTCCAGAGGAGAAAGAGAAAAGTCAGACTAGAAAGTCATGACTTTTCAGTCACTAGAGAGTTCATTGTAGCAATTATTTCTAAATCATTTGCACTCTCCTATCATGCTTCTACATATTTCACTTTCATTTAATAATATTTTTTCAGGTCTCAGAGAGTTACTGATTTCCACCCTAAACAAGGTGCTTTTTCTCTGTGGGAAGGCAATGCGCAATACAGCACGATCCCTGCCCTTTATTTATTTGCTTATAATTTAGAAAATAGCCTAAGATTACCCCAGTTTAAACTATGCTTCTTAATTTCTCAGTGCTTTCTATTATTGTTTGTTTGTTTTTCTATTAGATATGTTTTAAAACGTTTTGGAAACATTTTAAAAGTTTCAAGCAAAATTTAAATGTTATTTTGCAAAAACATGCCTTCATTATCATAAAAATTTATATGATGGTCTTAAAAGTTGACAGTATGCTTAGTCTGTCTTTGTATAATTTCTGGAACTGGATATGCTAAATTACTTGTTGAATTTCCTCTAGCATAATTTATAAGGTTAAAAAATCAAGCATGAACTTCATTGTTAACATTCTGTTTTTCAGCCTGGCTGGGTTGTTTTGGACCAACCAGATGCTGCTTGCCATTTGCAGCAGCAACAAGAACCTTCTCCTCTACCTCCAGGATGGGAAGAGAGACAGGATATTCTTGGAAGGACCTACTATGTAAACCATGAATCTAGAAGAACGCAGTGGAAAAGACCAACCCCTCAGTATGTGCTGATGGCTTGCACTTTGTAATCTAAATACATTTTGACCACTAATTTTCTTTTTGAAGTCATATCTCAGATGGATTCGTGATAGTACAGGGATCCATAAACTTTACATAAGCATACCAGTATTTTTAAGGCCTAGGGCTTTAAAAATGCTATCTTAGCTCTTTGTTGTTAAGAATAATTTGGTAATACTCAAAATTATTTGAGTTATAAGTGCCACCCTTCTGATTGCTTCTTTATTTTAATAAATTGTCAACTATGTATGTTTTAAATATTATGGAGCCGTAAAGGGTACATTTTTCTCTTTAGAATGATTTAGAAAATCTTAGAGATTTTTTTGTATTTTGTTACTAAAATATAATATTATTTTATATTTTACAGTACACTATGTTAAATTCTATAGTACACTATTTTAAAAATAGAACTTATTTGTAAAATATATAGGATTCAATAACAAGGGTCTTTTGTTAAACACCCATTTGCCAGTCTGGTCAATGTATACATAATTTCCACCATACAGAGATCAAGGACAGAATGACCTTCAAACATGACCTTCATTCTAATTTATGTCTCCTCGGTGACATTTTTCTTTTATTATCATCAGACTATGTATTTGTAAATAAATTCTCTGATTATTCATATTTATTATCAACTATCCTTCCACTTCTTCCTTATAACCTTCTGAAGTCTTTCTTTAGTTTTCCACTTTTTCACACAGACTTAAAATTTTTTATTTGTCCATTAACCTTCTAATTTGGGGCTTTGGTATTTTGTGTCTGATGTAGCCCAAGCACTTTCATAGGTACTTTCTGTTCTCAAATCCTCCCAAAGCAAATCAGTGATCCGTGGCACTGGGGCATTGATCTCTGTAGAATGACATACAGATTGCAAAACTGAAGACACTATAAAATTCTGCAAAATTGTCGTATTGCATACTCAGTATTATGGCAAGCCTGACTTGAGCAGAATCACATTTCCTCTATAGTTGATGTCATTTTCAGCTAGCCAAAATTAAGTATTGAACGGGGGAGGGGATCTGTCAAAATTATGTTTTCTCCAGCAACAGTATAGTAAGAAATGGTCCTCTGATTATCCTGGGCTTATATGGCATTAAATAAATTAATAATTTTATTATTAAATATCTTTAAAAAATTCTTGATCTACTGGTCTGGATACAATAAATGCAAATAGCTAGAATAATATAACTAATAAATGACTGGGGTAACTTAGGAAAGGTACAGTAGGAAAGACCTACCCCTCAGTATGGTACCCCCTTACCTTCCCTAAACCCAGGCATGTCTTTATTATTACCTTTTTCCAGGCCAGGACCGTTAGTGTATATGAGCAAAAATAGATACCATTTAATTATAATATATTAAGTTTTTAATTGTAGTATCCTGACACTGACTTTCATTCTGCCATCTACATTCATACATGGAGACCGCTACTCTTGGCTTAAGATCAGTTCTAGAAAATGTTGATGTCTGGTTCCTGAAGACGTATATGCAACTCTTTAAGATTCTCTTTTATGAACTTTCTAGTGCTACTTTAGATTTTACTCTTCTAATAACATGGCAAAATAATATAATGAAAGTATTTGTGGAACTCGCAGATATTCATTCAACAAATATTTTGGGGTTCCCATACATGTCAGCCTGTCAGGCACAGTGATGAACTAAAACATCAAAATCAGACATATCATGTACACACTTTCTCAAAAACTTTAATTCCATAAGGCACCAATGTGCCCGTAACTTAATCTTTGCATGTTGAAAGAGCCTCTGGCCAAAAATAATAAATTCTGACCTAACAAGTATTTTTTAAATGATCACAGAATATTTGACTATCATTTTAACTCTCTTCAGACATGGGTGATAGCTTCTATATTTCTAATACAGGGACAACCTAACAGATGCTGAGAATGGTAACATTCAACTGCAAGCACAGCGTGCCTTTACCACCAGGCGGCAGATATCTGAGGAAACAGAAAGTGCTGACAACCGAGAGTCTTCCGAGGTAGAGATCATTTTCTTTTTTCCGTAGATAGACACATGTTATGTGAATAGATTAAAGTATGTGTGGCTTAAGCTTATTCTGTTCATTTTTTAGAACTGGGAAATTATAAGAGAAGATGAAGGCACCATGTATAGCAATCAGGCCTTCTCATCACCTCCACCCTCAAGCAGCTCGGAAGTTCAGACTCACCTTGCAGAAGAATTGAATGCTTTACTTGCTATTTGTGGAAATTCAGCCACTGGCCAGCCAGTATCCAGCTCAGTAAGATGCTCTTAGATTTTGTTGTAGCTTCAGAATTTTATATTATATATATTAGTCCATTTAGTATCTAACTTTTACATAAAATTTTGTCTTTTCCCAGTTTTATTGAGATATCATTGACATATAACTTTGTTAGCTCAACGTGTACAGCATAGTGATTGGATATATGTATATATTGCAGAGTGATCACCACAGTGAGTTTAGTTAACATCCATCACCTCACATATTTACAAAAACTTTTTTTTCTTGTGATGAGAAAACATTTGTCTTAAGTGGCATGTAATAATGTGTTAGGGACTTTGGGACTTTACAGCATTTTTTCCAAGTATTGCCACTAATGGTGTGGAGCAGAGTCTTGGATAATCTGAATGGTCATTGGAATCCAAATGTTCATTATGTCAACGCCCTTCAGCCAGAGACTGCCATGAACACACCTGTAGTTGAACAAGTTGGGTTTATTACTCATTTCAGCAAGGGAGAGCACACACCATGAGTGTCTCGGTAAGAGCATGTTAGAAAAAATTTAATGGGTTTGGGCTCATGTTTGTCAATTTGGGGGAGGGTGTAGGAAAGCAGGATGTTGCTTGTGGATGCTGTCAGGAGGTGGTGGTGATTCTGTGATAGGCTCTTCAAGTCTTATATGTAGTGAGGCGAAAGCTATCATTAGTAAAGAAGCAGCACTCACTCACATTTGCCAGGATAGGGAGATAGCTGGTGTTTCTGGCTTGGAAAATGGCCCTGTTTTGTCTGTGCTCTGGCGTGAGTACAGAGTGGTCTTGATTTTGTCTTGATCCTACCAATGAGCACCACGCCAGGTCCTGGATGTTAGAGGCTGCGTTTCCCTTCTCAGTTATACCACAGATGTTACCAGTGCACATGCGTGAGTAAGAGCTGATGTACTTTGATTAAATGAGGAGATAGATGACATTCTCCTTCCCGTAACCGCTATAAAAATTGCTGTCTGTAGGGTCCAGAAGCAAGTATTCCAACATACTCTGTCACAATGCGATCTTTATGGCTAGCTCTCTAATCCGTATCATCACGGGACTCCTTTCAGTGAAAGACAAAGATTATTCTCTGAGGATGCGGTGGTCATTTCTGGTTGGAGTTCTCCTGCTTTTCATTCAATTAGTAGATACCTACTGAGGGCCGACAGTACCAAGGCACAGTACGCTCAAGTATCGGTGGAATACGGCCACAGCCGTATGCTTAAGTATTGCCTTCGGCTGCTTTCCCCCTACAGCGACAGAGTTGAGTAGTTATAACAGAGACAAAAAATATTTACTTTCCCGGCCGTACCAGAAGTTTGCTGATTTCTGTTTTAGCACCTTCTTCAAGAAATTTCAATGTAGACTGTGCTGTGTGAACACTTGTATGAATATCCAAGAGCAGATCTGCCTGCCTGCTCCCTTTCCCTCCTTTCTTCTACCTGTCTACTCTGTCTTCCATTCATTTCTTTTTATTTTTTATCAGGGGAGTGGGAAAGGTCAGTCAGAGACTTAAAGAATAAGCTATATAGGTTTACTGGTGATAAATCACACGAGATCCTATTCCCTTTTCTCCTATTATTATTTTTTTACTTTTCAAAGTAATACATGGCATCTATACAGTGAAATCCTATGCAGCCACTGGAAAAAATGAGAGAGCTTTGAATGTATGTGTTGCTTGAAACAATCCCTAAGAGAGAGTAGTTGGTGAAAACCAGCAAGGTATAGAACAGGGTGCTTAATGTACTACTGTTTATATAAGTTATTTAAATGACAGAGGATAAATATCTGTATGAGATTTTTTGAAGACTAAACAGGAAACTANTTGCTTGAAACAATCCCTAAGAGAGAGTAGTTGGTGAAAACCAGCAAGGTGTAGAACAGGGTGCTTAATGTACTACTGTTTATGTAAGTTATTTAAATGACAGGATAAATATGTGTATGAGATTTCTTGAAGACTAAACAGGAAGCTGGTAACATTGCTCAGCTCTGAAGGGTGGAACAGGTGAGCAGGCATAAACCTTTGGTTCCTTTTGAATTTCATAGCAGATGCATGTGTTACTTATTCAAAAAAACAAAACAATTTATTCTTTTATNGGTGAGCAGGCATAAACCTTTGGTTCCTTTTGAATTTCATAGCAGATGCACATGTTACTTATTCAAAAAAAACAAAACAATTTATTCTTTTATAAGTGTTGTGTGGTCATGGTTAACAATTAAAGCAGTATTGAGGTGTGTAAAATAAAAATGAAATCTTACATCTCACCTCTAACACATGCTTCCTAAATTGCTATTCATGGTTTGGCATATACAGGTTGTCCCCCAAAAATATATACACGCTGTAACAGCTGATAGCCCANCATGGCTTGGCATATACAGGTTGTCCCCCCAAAATATATACATGCTGTAACAGCTGATAGCCCGATTTTGAAAATGAAATGCATTTTAATATACACTGCCTTTATAATTTTTAAAAGTGTGCATATACATTTTTGGGGACACCTTATATTGTCCTGAACATTTTCTCTATGTTTATAAACATATGTGAGCACACATAGATTTCTGTATAATTTTTTAACCTGAGATCATCTCATACACACTTTTGGGTAACTTACTTTTTTCATTTGCTATATCATAGACATTGGACCATTTCACTAAATATAAACTTACTCCTTTTAAAACCAGCAACAGAACTTTGGCATATTGCAGTGTGCAAATAAACCTTAAGCTATTGTACCGTCTCCTATTGATGGAGGTTAAATTGTTTACGGTTCTTTGCTATTATAGACAATACTACAGTGGATCTTCTGAGTTCATTTCTACGTGTGTTATAAATTTCGATGTCATTAAATGACACAACTAATATCTTTTAGATAGTGACAACAGNTATAAATTTCGATGTCATTAAATGACAAAACTAGTATCTTTTAGATAGTGACAACAGCATGCGCGTAGAAACACAAGGAAAGAGAATATATGGGATTCCAGGAAACGGGCAATCTGGAATGTCCAGAGGGTAGGAGGTGAGGCCGGCAGTGCTGGAGCCCCAGGAAGAGCCGGGTCAGGAGGCTCGCTCAGCATCGTGGTCTGGGCCGTGGCTTGGATCCTGGTGCCGGTGTGAAGTCAGTGCAGGGCTCTGAGCTGGAGGGCGCAGTGACAGGCTCTCTGCAGAGCGCTCTCGGCTGCGGCGCGGTGTGGCGGGGAAATCCGACTCGAAGCCGGGAAATCTACTAGGATGTTGCTGCAGTGATGACCACGGTGGCAAACGAGGAAGACTTAAAGTTTTAAAACAAAACACTTGAGCTGAAGTGGAGAGGGGATGTACCCGGCTGTGAGGGCGGGAGCCGGAGACGCTCGGGTCCGCCTGCCACCCGACCTGGGCAGCGGCTGGCCTCACGCGCCGCCCGCCGAAGTGAGGAGGGCCGGGGAAGGTTTGAGTGGCTGCGATCAGGGAAAAATAGGGTCCAGTTTGGGGCACAGTGAGGGCTATCAGTCAGACAGGAGAGGAAGTCTGCGGGAGGCAGTCTAGAGTGGGGGACAAGTGTCTGGGGGTCGAAGGCATTGGCACGTGGGTGGTGGGTGGTGAGGGCACTGAGTGCTTTTACTCAGTCTCCAGGGTCACCTCCTAGGCAGCATTCTTTCTTCTCCCTTGTACGCACCCCTCCCCCCCAGATGTTAACTGCCGTTCAAAGACTAACCCAAGACCTAAAATTATCATCATTCTCTTTTTTATAAGAATCATTCCAGCAGAAGAGGCAGCTTACAAGCCTACACTTTTGAGGAACAGCCTACCCTTCCCATGGTGAGTTTACCCTCCCCCCTCAATTATCAATAAAAACATAAAGCTCAGCAACCTTTTCTTCTTTCTTTAACACTGAGTGTGACTGAGCATGACCTTTGGCGGCAAAGCCGAGTACTGATCCAGCGCAGGGTCTGGGCTCTGGTATATGAGGTGCTGGGGAGGGAAACTGAGCAGGTGATCCCTTCAAGATCAAAGCCCGATGCCCGGCCCGGTGTGGCTCAGCGATTGAGCCTCAGCCTAGGATCCAGGAGAACGCGGTTCGATTCCCAGTCAGGGCACGTGCCCGGGTTCCAGGCTCATCCTCCAGTGGGGGGTGTGCAGGAGGCAGCTGATCAGTGACTCTCTTATCACTGATGTTTCTCTCTCTCTCTCTTCTTCTCCCTTCCTCTCTCTGAAATCAATAAAGACATATATTTAAAAAAAAGAAAAAAAAAGAGAACAAAGCCGGAAGAACTATCTCCTGCCTAGTAAGAAAGCCCATCCCCGACTGTGGGTGACATCCAGGCGTCTCAGTTGAAGGGCTGTCCTGGCTGGGGGTGGTCCGCAGCAGGGAGCATAGGGTTCAGGATCATGGTGTCCAGCTGCCTTGGCTCTGTACACGGCCACGGCATATAGTGGCCATTCTGCCCCCCACACACGTGAAGTGTCGTGTCGGGGTCCAGTTACTCAGCCAGGTGTGCACCCGTTCAGCAGGCCCAGTGGCCAGGTTGGGGTTCATCAGCCCCACCCCACCCCTTTCAGGCCTTTCACCTCCTCAGGAGCTCCCCCCCCCCTTTACTCAGCTTCGATCTTAACGACCTCACACTGGGCTGTCGGCTCCCTTTTGGTTTCCCCACCTCCACCCTTTTCCTGACTCAACGCTCATTACTTTGAGTTTGCGTGTCCCTTACTGGGCCCCACTTGTTTTTCTGAAACCAAACGGAAACTCCCAGGCTCCCAGCGCCTTCAGCCTCCCCTTCTCCACCCCACGTGCCTCCGGCCGCGTGCCTCCCGTCTGTGCTCGACCTTCCGCACAGGCTGCTCCCCTCGCCCAGGTCGCCGTGCATCCCGCTTCCCCACTTGGAATCGCCTCCTCACTTTTTTCCACCAACTACGTGCGATGCTGAATGGCATTCTGTACATTAATTTTGAAAAAATGGGATTGTTTTCACTTTTATGGAAGTTCCAGCAGAGGAATGCAGAAGCTCAAAATTCCTCAACCCAATGGTGACTCGTCTGTCTAAAAAGGTGTCCCCGCACTGAGAGAGACACGGATCCTGCACTGAGGGGGAGGGCCACACCCGCATGTGCGGTTGGCCCTGTCAGTATTGAGCATCAGCAAGAGGTAGATGCCACCAAAGGGCTGCCCGCACCAGCCTCACTCTCACTGCCACTTTCTGGCCTCCTGCCTTAGGCTGGAGCCCGCGAAACCAGAGATCCGTGGTATTTTTCCCACTGCACTTTGTAATGTCCTCCATACGGTGAAAATGTTGAATTTTTGATGGACTAACAGGCGTTCCTCCAAGACACTATTTTAAGTGCACCAGATGAGCAGAGGAATCCAGAGATGATGTATGTTTTATGCACTGGAAAAGCTATTTCTTTGCCTTTTTTGTCTCTATACATTGATTAGGATGAGTGTGTTTTTTAACAGCTTTCTTGAGGTGTAATTTACATGCCATAAAATCTACCCATTTCTAAGTACAAATAAATGAGCTTTAGTAAACTTACACAGTTGTGCAAACCACCACAATCAAGGTTAAGAACCCTTTCATCACCCCAAAAAAGTTTCCTCAGTCCCAGTGCATACTTTCAGCCCTTGCTAACCGGTCATCTGCTTTCTGTTGCTACAGGCTTGCCTTTTCTACAAATTTCATATAAGTGGAGTCGTATAATATGTAGTCTTCTGTGTCTGGCCTCTTTCACTTAATATGGTGTCTTGAGATTTATCCATGTTGCTGCCTGTCTCAGTAGTTCTCAATATTCCGTTGTGTAGATAATACCTACTACATTTTATGTATCGTCTCACCGGCTGTTGGACATTCAGAAAGCTGGGCAACTTTGAATTCTGTTATTTCATAGACTAACCCTGACCATAACTGTCAACAATGTGTGCCTACCTCCTGCATATCTAGTGAACATACTAGTTGTGCTCGTTCTTATGTATAAGGCATATTAGGGAACTAGGCCAAACCTTGAGGACTCTAATCTGGTTCAGAAGGCAAAAGGAAGCCAGACCTGGACTATTTTAAGTGAACCTGGAAATAAGCAATAATAAACAGCACCTCCCCAGCTCTTACAGAAAGAAGGCAGGAATAACTTTTGACTTGGCACGTATCAGTGATCATTTCTGTAGTTAGACTACCTGGGTTCAGATCTCAGCTCCATACTAGCATTGTATCTGTTGAAATTACTTCAACTGGGCCAATAATAGCAATTATCTCAATAAGATTTGTGTAGCAGTTAAATGACATCTGTATTGAAGCACTTAGTGTGGTGTTACTACTGTCATGTTTTTTTGAGAAAAGTGGATTTTATTAGCTAAAATTGTGTTTAGCAATATCACTATAATCCTACTATTTTTATTAGTCTGTAGTATTTTTTTCATGTGATGTCTTTGTTGGGTTTTGACATCTGTAGCAATTCTTGAGAAATCACTTCTTTCATTCTTTATATTTGTAATTGTCTTGTTTTCTGTCATTTTTTTCCTGATCATCCTGGCTAGAAGATAAATGATTTTATTGATCTCAAAAAAAACTCAACCAAACAAACAAAACCCAAAACAGCTTGGTTTCATTTATTTCTCTGTTATTTTTCTATTTAATTTTTTTACTCTGATCTTTTCTTTATTATGCTTAATCTACATTTAATTTGCTCTCCTCTTTCTTGTTTCTTAAAGTAAAAACTGAAGTCATTAATGTGAGACCTTCCTTCTTTTCTCATATAGGCATTTAGTGCTATAAATTTCCCCCTACGTACTGCTTAGTGGCATCCCATGAATTCTAATGTCTTTTTATTTTCATTCCATTCAGAGTACTTTCTAATTTCCCTTTTAATTTCTTCTTTGACACATGAGCTATTTATTTAGTGTATGCTGTTTGGTTTTTAAACATTTGAAAAGATTATATATATTTGTTATCCCTAATTTAATTCCATTTTAGCAGAGAACATACTTTGTTTTATTTATATCCTTTTGAATGTATTAACTTGCTTTATGATTCAGGTTGGTCAGGTGGATTAATTATGCTGTTCAACTTTTCTGTATGCTTACTGATTTTCTGTTTGCTTGTTCTACCAGTCACAATGGAAGGGTTCTGAAAGTTTTGACCACACACATGGATTTTTATATTTCTCCTTGCAGTTGTGTCCATGTTCCCTGTATGTATTTGGAAGCTCTGTTCTTAGGTACATAAACACTTAGGATTACTTTGTCTTTGTGATGACTCAACCCTTTATCATTATAAAATTGCCTTCTATATCTTTGGTAATATTCTTTACTCAGAAATCTAATTTGGTATTAATATAGCCATTATAATTAATGTTTAAAAATTTTATTTTTAAATTACAGTTGACCTTCAATATTATTTTATATTAGATTCAGGTGTACAGCATGTGGTTAGACAATCGTATAATTTACAAAGTGACCCCTCCGATATTTCAAGTACCCACCTGGCACCATACGTAGTTACTAGACTATTACTGACTACATTCCCTATGCTGTACTTTACATCCCGTGACTGTTTTTATAACTACCAAATTGTACTTCTTAACCCCTTTACCTTTTTCACCCAGTCCCCCAAACCTCCTCCTCTCTGGCAACCATCAGTTTGTTTTGTGTGTATCTATGAGTCTGTTTCTGTTTTGTTTGTTCATTTATTTTGTTCTTTAGATTCCACATGTAAGTGAAATCAGATAGTATTTGTCTTTCTCTGTCTTATTTCACTTAGCATAATACCCTGGAGGTCCATCCATGTGGTCATAAATGATAAGATTTTATTTTTTTTTATAGAGCAGCAATATTCCATTGTATATATGTACCTCTCTGCTTTATCCATTTGTCTATGGGTGGTACTTGGGTTGTTTCCATCTCTTGGCTGTTGTAAATACGCTTCAGTGAGCATAGGGGTTCTTTTCGAATTAGTGTTTTGGGTTTCTTCGGATACATACCCAGAAGGGGAGCTCCTGGGTCATTGGTAGTTTTATTTTTAAATTTTTGAGGAACCTCCATACTGTTTTCCATAGTGGCTACAGCAATTTGCATTCCCACCAACAGGGTTTCTTTTTCTGCCAATACTAGTTTGCTGATTTATTGATGATAGCCATTTTGATAGGCATGAGGTGATATCACATTGTGGTTTTAATTTGTATTTCTCTGATGATTTGTGATGCTGAACATCTTTTCACACGTTTATTGGCCATCTGTATGTTCCCTTTGGAGAAGTATCTTTTTAGGTCCTCTGCCCATTTTGTAATTGGATTTCTTTTGGGAGGGGGGATGAGTTGTAGGAATTCTTTAAAATTTTATGTATTAACCCCTTACCAGAGGTATCATTGGTGAATATCTGCTCCCATTCAGTAGATTGCCTTTTCATTTTGTTGATGTTCTCCTTTGCTATGTCAAAACTTTTTAGTTTGATGTAGTTCCATTTGTTTGTTTTTTCTTTTGTTTCCCTTACCTGAAGAGATATATCTGAAAAAATATTGCTACAAGAAAATGTTTGAGATTTTACTGCCTGTTTTCTTCTAGGATTTTTATGGTTTCGAGACATTTAAGTCTTTAATCCATTTTGAGTTTATTCTTGAGTATGGTGTAAGGAGGTGGTCTAGTTTCATTTTTTTACATATATCTGTCCAATTTTCCCAACATCATTTATTGAATAGGCTGTCTTGACCCCATTGTATGTTCTTGCCTCCTTTGTCAAATATTGATTGACTGTAAAGGCATGGGTTTATTTCTGGGCTCTCTGTTGTGTTCCATTGATCTGTATGCCTGTTTTTATGCCAGTACCATGCTGTTTTGATTACTGTGGCCTTGTAGTATAGTAATCAAGTAACATGATACCTCCAAGTTCATTCTTCTTTCTCAAGATTGCTGAGGCTATTCGGTGTCTTTTGTGGTTCCATATATAAATTTTTGGATTATTTGTTCTAGTCCTGTGAAAAAAGCACCATTGGTATTTTGATAGAAATCACACTGAATCTATAAATTGCTTTGGGTAGTACTGACATTTCAATGGTGTTAATTCTTCCTATCTATGAACACCATATATATGCTTCTACTTATTTGTACCTTCCTCTTCAGTGTCTTATAATTTTCCAAGTACAGGTCTTTTATATCCTTCTTTGTCTGTTATAGCCTTTATTTTAAAGTCTATTTTGTCTGATATAAATATTGCTACCACAGCTCTTTTTCGTTTCCATTTGCATGAAATATCTTTTTCCATCCCTTTATTTTTAGCCTCTTTGTGTCTTTCTACCTAAAGTGAGTTCCTTGTAGACAGCATATAGGGTCTTGTAACCATTCAGCCAGATGTTATATGGGCTCCTCTTCCCAGTACTTTTGTTCTGGGCTGGGGAGCCCAGTATGGGGTTGGGACCCCTAGCTCCTCAGGGGCCACCTCTGCAGGTGAGATACCCCTCCAGATTCTCAACTCCCACATGTGGGTGCGGGGCCAGCCTGTTTCATGTCTCCACTCCTCCAACCAGTCTCACTTGGCTTCTTCTGTGAATCCTCAGTTATAAGACTTCTGTTCAGCTAGTCTTCAGATGGTTATTCTGATTATTCAGGTTGATTGTTAAGTAATTTAGTTGTACTTTTGATGTGGTCCTGAGAGGAGGTGAATGTAACTTCCACCTACTCCCCCATCTTGAGCCAGATTTTCTGCTGTCATGTTTTCAAAGTGTTATCACCCTCATCATTATTGTCTTTTTTTTTTTAAGTGAACTGTTATATACATTATTTTGTACACTTCAAAATATTATTTAAAACATGTTTTGTTTTGTTTTAAGTATACCTTTATTGATTTCAGAGAGAGGAAAGGAGAGAGAGAGAGAGAGATAGAAACATCAATGATGAGAGAGTCATTGATCGAGCCCGCAACCCGGGCATGTGCCCTGACCGGGAATCGAACCCCGATCGCCTGGATCCTAGGTTGACGCTCAACCGCTGAGCCGCGCCCCGCCGGGCAAAACATGGTTCATTTTTAAGAGAGCTAGCAGTGACAGAGGGATGTGGTCTTTTTAAACTAATTTTTTTCTTAGTAATATTTAATTCTCCCATTATCCTTCACCTTAGCTCTTGCCTACATCATCTGGATTACCACCAGGTTGGGAAGAAAAACAAGATGAAAGAGGAAGATCGTATTATGTAGATCACAATTCCAGAACCACTACGTGGACAAAGCCCACTGTACAGGTACCCTGCAACCTATCGATTAACTTTTCTTACATAATTGAAACTATCCTATTTGTATGGAAGCTATTACATCACTTTGTAGTATATGCTGGATGCTTCTAGCATGTTCTAATTATTTTCTGACATTGGTGCTAAGTGTCTACTGTTTCCTGTGCATCTCTGATACGCACGAATTACCACTTGTCATGACGTAAAACAAGTCCAGTTGGGAGTAAGTGGACGAAGTAAATGATCCAATCCATTGGGTAATTTTGTAATTTAAACAGTTAAGACTATTATTTAACTAAAAGATAATCTTAGTGATTTGTATCTATTAAAGAAATACGTATTGATGACATTTTGTCCTTGACAACAGTGAGTGCTTTTGTAATATTTTCTTGTGTTTAGAGAAATATTTATTTTATTTTATTATCATGTCTCTTACTGAGAAATATTTTAACACTGCAAAGTACAGAGAATAATACCGTTTTCCTGACATCCAGAATTTACCACCATTAACAAATTACCGTATTCATTTCTAGACGTTTTATTTTTCAAAATAAAATTTTGCAGATGAAACAAAATTTCTTTTAGCCAAATACGTGGTCCCATCCCCTGGAGGCAACCACCTTCTTGACTTTTTGGGGTATTCTTCCAGCCTATTTTATATACTTACAAAGAGAGCTAAAAAATGCAAAATATTGTTTATGCCTGTGTTTCAAATTTTGCAAAACTGTTGTGTTGTATAACTCTAAATCTTTTTTTACGCAGCATTCTTTTAAAACCCTAGCCATGTTTTATAGATAGATCCAGTGTATTTTTTTTAACTACTGCCTAATATTTCATCAGATGACTATATTCACATCTCAGTTATCCATTTCTATAGTGGATATTTGCCGTTCTGTTTGTCCGCCCAGCATTTGAACCCACTTCTGTGTGTGGAGAACTCCCCACTCTATGAGTCTTCCCTTGCAGGTAGGCACAGGCCGCTGACCTAGCTTCCTCGGTCACGTGCATCAACAACAACAGCTTTGCTAACCGGCATCTTACTGCTCAGGAGTTAGCTGAGAAATTATAAATGATTTTAAAAACAAAGTTTAACAAAACACTTTATTAAAAAAAATGAGTCTCCAGTGTTTAGGCCTATTTATAAGTATATATTCTGCCTGCAGGCTGTTACTGTTTTGACCACAGCAATTTGTGTGTTCCCTATAAAACATTACAACATGACTTAATTAATGTGCTAGGCCACAGTGGAGAGTCAGCTGCCACCAAGCCAGAGTTTTTCTGCAAGCCCTCAACCACAGGTCCCCACAAGTGATTCGGAACAGCAGGTGACTCAGCCGTCTGAAATGGAGCAAGGATTCCTTCCTAAAGGCTGGGAAGTCCGGCATGCACCAAATGGGAGGCCTTTCTTTATTGACCACAACACCAAAACCACCACCTGGGTAACTTTAATACTCTCCAGTTTAAACTTATAATAACAATAATAACCTCTTATGTATAATTCTTTGTAATCTTTAAGTGTACATTAGTGTAACCTACACTTTCTAGTATTCATTTAAAGATATGTTGAATTCATAATAGTATTATTTCTATTCCAGATAGGTTTATGACTATTTTTAGTATTTTGGGGGTTATTCTGTAGACAAATTTACTTCCTATATCCAGTTTTTAACTCACTAGTCATAAATGCTTAGGAAGGTGGTAATAACCCTTTACCTTTATAAGAGGCTTTATAGTTCCAAAGTACTTTTGAATCCACACCTCACTTAATATAAAAAAAAAACTTGTGAGGCTAAGTAGAATAAGTATTTTTATTTTAAGACAAGGTTTAAAGTTGTTTAGCAGTTGGTTCACCACAAAGAGAAAAATTACTAAAAATTAGCAGCAAGATAAATAGATTTGATTAATCAGTTTATTTAAAAGACCAGTGTATCTAAAAAAACCTAAAATAATTTAATAAATTATTTAATTAATAAGATGTCAAAATAATAATACTTATAAATTAATCCAAATAAATTGAATTTTCTCTTTTTTCAACAATTTGGTTGATTTTAATAACCTATTTGGGCTTACTGTCCTATGTTTCAAAAATATTAATAAATTAACACCTTAACAGATAGGTGTCAAAAAGCATGTTCAGGGACTCAGAAATAACATGTGGTCCAGTTTCCTGTCCCACTGTCTCACCAGTTTTTATTGAGAGAAGAGTCCTGTGTAGTAACACAACCCCTAAGGAGTGGGGCAGAATATTCTGAATGGTTTCTGTGAGAGCGATGATGAGCTGACACAGGTCCCACTGAGATCTGAGAACCGAATACTAGGGCCTAAAAGTGATGGGTTGTACACGGAGAAACTCTTATTTTTCAGATTAAGCAAATGAAATAAAAGAATAGTTTAAATATCCATTGATGCTAGAAAACATATAACAGATTGACTTTCATGATTTTAAAATTTGTGTGTGTGTATTGTTCTCTTCATTTACTCTACCAAAAAAGGAAGACCCCAGACTGAAAATTCCAGCTCATCTGAGAGGAAAGACAGCGCTCGATTCTTCCAACGACCTGGGGCCTTTACCTGTAAGTTTGTAGAGCTGCTACCAGTCTGACTTGGCTATCTCCAACATTTTGCATCTTGGAATACAGTAGTTCTTTAACAACTCTAAGTAATATTATTATTAAAGTGTTGATGCCTTCTACTGAGAATGAATATGCAAATTAAAGTAACTATATAACCAATGCTATTTTTCTACCCGTACGTCTAAAACCCTTTTTGTAAAATAATTAAAATACATTTTTTATTATAGCCAGGATGGGAAGAAAGAACTCACACGGATGGAAGAATTTTCTACATAAATCACAGTATGTGCAACGTGATTTTTCATTACATTATTTCTGTAATATTGAATTTTTTGCATAAGAATGAAGAACATCTTTTTTCCCTCCCTCTCTTCAGATATTAAAAGAACGCAATGGGAAGATCCTCGGTTGCAGAATGTAGCAATTACTGGACCAGTAAGTCTCTTTGTATCAGTATCTTCTGATGGGATTGTCCTCTCGCCTGTCTCTTCAAGGGCGAATGGTCAAGGGCATAACCCCATAGGCACTGAGAGGAAAGCACATTTGCTGTCCTCTCTGTTACCANAGGGCATAACCCCATAGGCACTGAGAGGAAAGCACATTTGCCGTCCTCTCTGTTACCACCCACACTCCAGGTCTCAGATATTTGGAAAAAGCATGTAAGATCATTATCCTTCTGCACAATAGCTTTGGGAGACTAGTGAGCCAGAGAGTGAAAATGCTAAGGCGGTGGGCTGCTGTGCTCAGGCTCGTACTTGCCTTGTCTGAAAAACAATGTCGTCAGGCCACAGCTAATCAGGGAGGAGCCTAGTGCGCAGGTGAAGTAGACCGCGCCCTACCCACTGCAGGGCTGGGTCTTGAACTTTTGGGTAGAAATTATTGTATATGTAAGATATAAGATATATATATAGGGTATCCCAAAAAAGTATACACACACTTAGAATAGTTATAAAGGCAGTGTTTATTAATACATTTCATTTTCAAAATTGAGCTATCAGCTGTTAAAGTGTGTATACATTTTTTTGGGACACCCTGTATATATGACACATTCATGTATACATATACACACACACATATATATGTATGACACATTCATATTTAAGTATAAATATCGCCATGTATGATGTTTACACTACTCTTGAGTCAGGTTAATAATAGGAAAATTATTATCCTCTTTTATAGAGCTACTTTTCCCATTTTTAGTTTTTCAGATTTTGTTTTTAATTCACAAAAATAAGTAAAATTGAAGATACAGTTCTTTTAGGTTATTCTTTAGTCTCCATGTTTAGTCTTTTAAAGTAATGGATAAAAAAGGTGACTCCTCAAAGTTCAGGGGAAAAGTACATTTTTCAAATTGTTCCCTTAATGGAGAAATCACTTTGAAAGCCTCTTTAGAAATGGAAATTTTCATTTCTAATATTTCTCTGCTTGGAAGAAATACCCTGTTTCTGGCATGTTGCATTTCAGGAATATTGACTGATGAAAATTACAGCCATAGGAATTGCTGAGTACAATTTTATCTTAAACAGAGAAATTTAGAAATTTTAAGTTTTGTATTTGTTTTTCTTTAAATTAAACTTTTCTTTCCAAATATCCTCTTTGAATGCCTTAAACTTACATTCATAAAATACCCAGAGGGGAACTTTTAAAATTGTTCCAAAATAAAACAACCTAAACCTTCTTTATTTTTCCAAAAATTTCAACTCAAGGCCGTGCCCTACTCCAGGGATTACAAAAGAAAGTATGAGTTCTTCCGAAGAAAGCTGAAGAAGCAGGTTAGTGATACTTATAATGAGTTCTTAGGAATGAATGTTATAAAAGTGATGGTAAACACATTTTTAAATGGATGAAGGGGATCAAACACAGAAAGAGAGAGAGAAGGAGGGAAGGGAAGGGAAGGGAAGGGAAGGGAAGGGA